GCTGTTCTCTGTCTCCTCCTTCTGTACAAGTCCCCCAATAAAGCTGGGGATTTTGCAGAGCAGTGTTGGCAGTTCTGCACATGCTCAGTTTTCAGTGAGTTTCTATGCTGACAATTTCCTGCCTATCACATCTGAACAGCCCATAGAGTCACACATGTGGGTGTATACATGGTGGGAAATGACAGCCCACTCCATCCCTCCTCCTCCATGTCCACTAACCAGCTAAACCCAATGAGAGTGGGATATTACATCTTGAATGAGGCTTCCCCTCCCTATTCTAAGACAGGGGCTGGAGGGGCGTGACACAGCCTGTGACTGGCAGACATCCTCCCAACCATGCTATTGCCAAGAGATAAGAAAGATTTGATTTCAAATATATATCTGTATGACCATTTAAAACAGTTTATTGATATTAGTTATTTATTTTTACTCTGTATCCCAAAGGCTGTTTTTTATTATTTTGAACAAATGACAAAGCTGCAGAGGACTAGAAGCCCCTCCTGCCTATGTTTCCCTGCAGACAGGCTGGGAAAGAGCTGTATATCGATTAGGTAATAAGTACTTAGATTGTTTTTAATTAAAATAATTACAGCACCATCATCCACATACAGAAAAAGAAAGGATAATGTAAATTAAACAATGTGTGTTTAGTATGAATTTAAACTATAGGAATCAAGTTAAAGTGTATTGAAGCTGAGCAACAGATACGTCATATGTGTATTTCCAGTCCTTAGAAGGGGTGAATGTATTAGTTTCCTTTTTCAGATTTTTTCCTTTTATTTTATCCTGATCATTCTGCCTTTAATATGTTTCCTATGCTATTGTAAAAATACTCACTGCACTTGATCTATATGTAGAAGCTGCTCCTCTCCTCTTCTCCATAGCATAGAAGGAAGGGGTCCAGTAGTTCCATAAAGATAGCTGGAAGCAATATAACTGATAAGATGGAAGGCTCCTCCTTAGCTCCAGTCACATGACATAGCTGAGGGGAGGACTTCCCTCACTCTGAACTGCCGCTGCATCTGGTAAGTAGGGATGAGCTCAGACATGTTTGGATCCTAGTCGGAACCAACCTGAGCTTTTCCATCAGAAAGCTGTCAGTGCGCACCACCGATCATAAATGGCCAGGGCATTCCCTGCCTCACAGCGGCAAGGGGTGTGTTTACATGTGGCTGTGAGGCAGGGAATTCCTTGGCCGCTTAAGATGGGCAGTGCACACTGACAGCTTTCTGGTGGGATAGCTTAGGTGGGTTCAAACTAGGATCTGAGCATACCTGGGCTCATCCCTCCTTGTAAATATTGGGACAGGATCTGCACTAAAGGAATAGCGGTCTGTACTGAGGGATTAGACTGGGAGGGGGGTCTGTACTGGAGGGTGTCCTTGCCCAAACTCAAAAAAGCCTATGAAAAAGGTACCGGGCATCTCATGGGGCTGATCTACTACTGATCCCGGGTAGTGCCAGAGTTTCCAAATGGTCAGTCTGCCCCTGGGTGTGCCTGTATATTAAGAATGATTTACTGGTGAACCCAAGGGATGACTTTGCAGATAGAGCAAAGGGGTGAGGTGAAGTCCCTATGGGTAGAACTTCATAGAGATGAAAAAAAAAAAAAAGGAAAATAGTAGGGGTATGCTACAAGCTACTACCCATGACTGTATAATCTGTTAAATGTTGCTGATTATTTCTATTTTACCAGTGTTCTGTTTCTATGTGCTAACTGGAGTTGTATATCCTAAACCCGTCATTTCTGTAGCCAACTCTTTTGAACAACTTAAATGCAGAAGAGGAGGTTCGGGGTCCCCCTATGCAGTTCCATTACACAGAGCATACCATTTTTGTTATTTAAAAAAATAATACTTTTAAAATCACTTTCAGCTTTTCACAAAAAAAAATTTATAAGTGAACTAATATTTCCCAACAAAAGAAGATGTGATGTATTGATTTTGATCCTTTTTAAAGAAAATCCCTAAATGTACAGTATGAGGCCACAAAATATGCAAAAGAAGGCAATGACATTGATTTCTGCTTTAGCAAATTGTATCTTTATTGCTGCAATTGAATACATGTTGATCTCTTTAGCTGTGCGTTTTCACCACATTTTCCTTTCTTTAATAGCGGCAGGCTGCTTATTCAAGAGATGCTGATATCACTTAACATCCAGCAGTAAAACTGCTCAAATCCCTTCCTTTGCAATGATCCCTCCAGGCAACCCTGTAAGTCAGAAAAAAAAAAATTAAATGAAAAAGATATCAACATGAAATTGTCTTTTTAAGCAATGTGTCATCACTTCTGTTATGTCACCTTCACTAGTACCATAGCTGTCACTTTGCGCATTCAGGGCAAAGTAAAAGGTTCCATTTATAGTCCACCCCCTCATTATTATTACTCATCTTCCTTGTGCTTCCTTTTCACCCCGTTCAGTCAGATTCTCACAAATGAGGGAATATGTGACCATTTTCCTTGATGATCCCATAATGCATTGCTTAGCACATGAACAGCCAGTTGACAGTGATGTCACTTGGGGAGGTTAGCATTCAGCACAGGGGTCACAATGCAAGAGAGGTGAGTGTGCAAAACAGGCGTAATAGGGGCGGACTGATAACTCATGGGGTCCCCGGGCAATAGGGGATCATGGGGCCCCTGTGTCCTTGCCCAAACTCAAAAAAGCCTATGAAAAAAGGTACCAGGGGCATCTCATGGGGCCCCCTACTGACCCCGGGCCCTTGGGCAGTGCCCGAGTTTCCAAATGGTCAGTCCGCCCCTGGGCGTAAAATATATCTATATCCAAGAACAAAAATGTGATATGTTGCACATAGTGGTCCTTAGCGGTCTTGGCTTAGTTATTTTCTCCTTTAGCCCAGGTTCACACTGATGCGATGCAGAATTCACGGCATTCTGAGTGCGAATTCTACACCGCATCAGAATCGCACCCCATTCATGCGAACCGCTGCGGGTGTGTATGTTAAGTTAACAACACCCCGAAAGCGGTCGGAAAAACGTGGTGCGATGTGCAGAATTGGATTGCATGGGTGTGAATACTTATGTGATCCGATTCTAGTGCAGACCCAAAAAAGGGTCCTGCATGCTTTTGGTGTGGGTGTGGTGCGAATAGAGCCATACAAAATGTATGGTTCCAATCGCACCGCACACAATTTGCATGTGATTTGCACAGGGATGCGGTGCGGTTCCTGTGCGAATCACATGTGATATACCGCACCACATAAATGTGAACCCAGGCTTATTCTCACCTGGCAATCCTGCCAGTACCAACCTCAAGTCCTAAAGTTACAACGCTCTCGCACTGTACTGTGTATATGGGGGAGCAACGTTGTTACCTAGCACAGGAAGTGCGTTAGGACTACAAAACACATCCACTCTTCTGCATATCATAGGGCTGGACAGGGCTAATAACACCGCTTGGAGCTTGAGTGAAGCAGAGGTAGACTCCATAGAAAGCTATGAGCTTAATAGGTTTCTGAAGAATCACACACCTAGACGGCAGCCCACCTGCCCTACCACTGCTATGCAACATGGACAAAATCCTCTCTTCCCCCTTTAGCCACTGGTGGCCACTCTCTCCTGCCCAGTCTGTGTCTGTGTTGCTGGGCATTAGGCCCCACTTGAAAAGCTGTGTCCCCTGTACTCCTGTTTGCCAGTGGTGGCACTCCCTTTGTGCAGCGTCCTATTGCTTGGTGCTGCCTGTTCCACTTGCTCTGCTCTGATTGGCTGCCCTCTGGCACTCTATTTGAGGACCATAAGCCCAGGGCTCTGAGTGTGTCATAGCATTTAATTACTCTGCATCTGTACCCTCACCTTGCCATGTGTGCTCCTGCCTGCCTTGCCTTGTCTTTGCAATCTCCTGTTACTGATCCCTTTCTTGAGCTATGGGTTATGCTTGTCTGCTGCCTGCATCCACCTCAGACTGTATGTCGACTATGCTTCTCATCTGCCGCCTGCCCTGACCACTACCAGCCTCTGTGCTTCTGTATGGAATACCCTCCAACTGTACTACGGTCCACACCTGATACTGCTGAGACCCACAGGTACTTCCTTATGTTACCTTCACACAGTCCCGTGTGTTACCTGGACAAGAACTACAGCATTGTGCATTAAAGTATATGCAAGCCATCTCCTTGTAAAACAATCCATACCAAGGGCGGACTGACCATTTGGAAACTCAGGCACTGCCCGAGGACCCGGGGTCAGTAGGGGGCCCCATGAGATGCCCTTGGTATCTTTTTCATAGGCTTTTTTGAGCAAGGACACAGGGGCCCCATGATCCTCCATTGCCCAGGGGCCCCATGATTTGTCAGTCCGCCCCTGACCCATACAGTTTGAAATAAAAATAAAAGATAAAACATTTGTATACAGATATAAAAACATTATAAATACATCCCCCCCTTATTTATAAGTGATCACATTCCCTCTGTTCTCAACTGTAGAGAGGTGAGGGTGGAGAAACAGCAGCAAACTGATCTTCACAGTGAATGGCTGTGCAGGGGAGGGGTGCTGGGTGTCAGCAGAAGTTTGATGATTGGAGATCTCTAGCACAGCTAGAGAACTGGCCACGCTGTGCTCTCATGCCTAGTGTGGTCAATTCTTAATAGGAAAGCAGAGGGACTGGCAGGAACACCAAGGATTTCACACAAAGGAAGCAATACAAAGAGAAAAGGATACTTTTTCATACAAGTACATGATACAGCAGGCACATATCAGGAATATGAAATGTTGGGGTAACATATTAATTAATTTTGGGGGATCAACCACGTATTAGCAAGCTTGTTTGCCTTAAGATAGTGGGAATGTTATAGATGAAAATACACTCGCCAGCTATAGTTTCTGACCTCTAGTACTGGGGCAAGTGTCACAAAAAGATAATTTAACCCTCCCCAGTTCTATTCAAAACTGTGAAAAAAACATTTGTAAGTTTTTTCTTCAATTATAGTAATTCTTATAATAAACACATTAATGATATACTATTTGAAGTATAATTACCACCACTTACCAAGCCGAGATGCCATTAGGATCTCTCACAACTCTCTTGGCACATTCAATGTCATCGTAGATGTTATCATTGAGGAGACCTGTAATGAAACAATAAAGTGGATATCAGAAATGATCTTGTGTTCTATTAGCCATTGAGATGTTTGTCATTAAGTGGTTGTAAACTTTTAAACCTGAATTAAATGAATGACCTTTAGTGAAGCTAAGGCAAAGTAGAAAATGTGTCTCTGAGATGGAAAGTCATTGCAAATGTTTATTAACGGCAAATGTTGAAAGGCAACAACTGGACTTCATCACTAAAACATCAATGAATGTGGAAACCTGTTATTAGAGGAACACGGAGGCTGCCACCGCTGGCCTTTTCTTTAAAATTGCTGCTTGCTTGGCAATCATGCTGATCTTCCATACATTAAGTCACTGACGCTGGACAAGTATGCAGATTTGGACCTCTGACTTTACTCCAAATTTCCTGATGGGCTCACTTGTTCTGGGTATGGATGATAGTGGAGCAACATGTAGCCCTGGTTCACATATATGCGGCCATGCGGGCCACGTTTTGCACATCATTTGAATGGACTCCTGTGCCCCGTGACACGCAGAGAAGAAGTCCCTGCACTTCTTTGGAAACCGCTGCCTGCACAGGAGCCTCGGTTCCCAGTGCGGTTGTGATTTCCAATGCAGGTGGCGTCCGCATTATTCTGTGCGGGTGGTACGGCTGAACAGATTTTTGTGCGGATCCACACCGGCACCACCCACACGTATGTGAACCGTAAGCCAGTCAACTAGCAGCAATGACAGTCCCTGTTTTTGTCTCATGACAGGTTTGCTTTAAAGTTAAACTTCGGGCAACAATTCAATTCAAAAAAAAAAAAATGTTTTAAATGACAGCCCTATACCCCTCCAAAATTCATATGCTCTGTATTACACTACAGCACAATGCTTGGTATCCTGTGCATTGTGTTGCTGTGTGAAAAATGCATGCAGCACCTACATTTCCATGCATTGAGGTGCATTGTTACCAAGTGTTAGATTTCTAATTCAGTGTGTATTTTTCCAATGCTATTGGCTATTTGGCTTGTTTTATAATATGTATTATTAAATGTTTTGTTATATTGGTATTGCATTGATATGTTGATTGTATTAATATTGGATTGATATGTTTTTATGTTCTTTCTAGCCCTGATGAAGGGGGTGCTCTTGGACCCCTAATATGCGTTGGCTACTTTTTGGATTTTCCCTGACATTATAGAATAATGTCCAGAATAAAGTTGTATCTGGACCTCTTAGAAGTGGTGTGGTGTTTTAATTTTAGTTTTTGTGGCTAAAATTGTGGCTCAGAAGGGAGTCTGCTTGAGTGATCCCATACCAAGCTGCTTGCTATGGGGGCACTTGGCAGGAGGGAGGAACCAGGAGAACGCAGGGCTCCTGAGAAGAGGAGGATTGGGATTGCTCTATGAAATAAAAACGCACAGAGCAGGTAAGTATGACCTGCTTGTTATTTATGAAGAAAAAAAAGTAATCTTTTACTATCACTAAGCTTTAACACGGACAGAACTTACTTTGACAGCTAATTCCACAAGCGTTTTTAGCATTAGAAGTCTTTCCGTCATTGCACCACCATTTGCTGTTAATCTGAAATATTCCGTAGTCACGGCTTGGCCCATTGTTGTTCACAGCTGCAGTGTTGTAACGACTTTCATAATAGGCAAGACATATCCCTGTAAATTGATAGAAAAGTACGACCATAAACAGCATAGAAACAAGAACAATAATATATTCTACTGCTTAGAACAACTATAAACATTTCCAAAAGGTATATCTTCCAAATACTGTATGTGTAGATGTGCACAGAGTAGATTTAGAATCAGGATTGAATGTGAGTAGAAAAATGAACCATGATCCAGGTCAAATGGTGTCAATAAAAATAGTTATTGGAAAATATATGCTGACCTTCCAATCAGACTTTCTAGGTTCAGCATTAAAGCTGCTCAATTGTTAAGGGAGGCAATGTGTGTCCCACCCATAGAGCCTTTCAGTGGTCAGACTTCAGCATCACTTACTATTCTGACAGCAATAGCTAGTTACTTACAGCTCCGTGAAGGCTGTGATCTATTGTTAATTGTCTAAAGCATGTTCTAAACCTTGGTGATATCAATAGATTCTTGGGTCCCAATTGTCTAGCCCTAATGCACACTAATTGTAAGGGTTCAACAACTACTAGTTTGCATTCAGAGCCATTTTTCTGCAATGCCAACATAGGCCTTGACCTGGAGGAACAGGATTGCCAGGGACAGCCACCTACATATTATATTGCTGACTGTCAGAAACATATACCTGTGTATAATGAAAGGTTCAAGACTGCTGTCCTGCCTGCCGATAAAATATGGCTGAGTTGTCATTGTTGCTGTTCCTGTATGCTTAGAGTGTTTTTATTGGTGGAATAATGTACTGTGTACTTACAGTTTGCCTGCTATGAATCAGAACTTTCAGAGATACTTTCCTTATAGTCGTTGGCTTTAGTTATACTGACTAACAGCAGGGAAGCTGTATCTTTCAGCCCCTGCCACAACCCCTGGCCTGCCTTGTGAGACTGTGACATCTGATGGTATTACTGTGATGCTAAGACTAAAAAAGATAACTAGAGTCAGTAGACATGTTAGACAGTTTACCTGGGGGGGCAGCTCCGTTCACATATAGGCGTTTTGAATTGCAGGTAGAATAGCACAAACCAAATCGCGCAAAGCGCATTGCCCAAAATAAGTTATTTAGTTTGAATGACAACATCTTTATCCGACAACAATTGCGGCAGAATCGCCCCACGTTTTTAGGTGTCATTGAAATTAATGGCTCCTGAACAGGCTGATGTGCCATTTGACATTTTAACAGCACATTTTGAAATTACAGGCAGAATTGCGGCGATTCCGGCCACGATTCAAAACGCCTATATGTGAAAAGAGCATTTTACAAACAAGCACTAAAAACACTTAAGTCGAACCCATATTCAACTAATATTCATCATGTAACTATAGGTATTGTGGAGAAATTCATCTTTAAAGTTCACAATAGAAGCACTGAAATCACAACTTCTTTCCCCTTTTCTCAACTTCTATGAAGAGCAAAATGTTGATAGCCTTCCAGCTTTCTAATGTAAACAAACACCAGATGTTCTATTGGTTATGGATGGCATCCCAATACCCCAACTCATCTTCATTGCAGCACACCACAATGTGTGGTAACATGCTACTATGCCTTGCTAGTGAAAATGCTGCAAGAGCTGTTTTGGTCTGTTTGGGTGTGTTAGGCAGCCCAATTAAATGAATAGGCTACCTTAATGTAATTCACTAAAACAGGCGACATACTACAAACGCACCAGAATGGACTGCCCTGGTTTGAATGGGTCCTTTGTGGAGTTCTTTATGGTTCCTTGAGAATGAATTACTTAACAAAACCTGCAGCTACAGAGGTTGGGAATGGCTTGATTTAAAACAATTTTTACCTGTTCCTATTCAGTATATGTAACTAATATAATGTCCATAGTCTGGGCACAGGTGCATTTTGAGCTCAGTTGACACTTATGTTTGTGTATTCTGTATACATACATCCCTCTACATATTACTGCTTTTTATTTCCATTCTACATACAGTTAGCAGCGCTATATCCATGATATCCAGACAGCCCAGTTTGTTGGAAGATCCTGTACAACTCGCAGCGACTATAAACCTTCCCCTCTGAGGTGTAATACAAGCCAAGGCAAGCAGCAAGGAACAAAAGGAGCTTCATGTTGTTCGACTGAGCTGATCAGTGGAAATGGCACAACAAAACTTGCTGAAGAGGAATTGAAAAAAATATAGACATTAATAATAAGTGTCAGTAAACTAAAATTTAAACATTAAAAATATAATATACTAGATATTGATGTTGGTTTACATGCAAATTGAATGTTCACTTTGATTAGTAAATACGGTGAAGCTGAGTTCAGTTTTAATACTTGACTATTTCAAGGGAGATTAAAAAAAAAAAACAATTTTTGCTTGCATGTGATTGGATGATAGAAGAGACCAGGCAGTGGGGAAAGCAAATAAAACTGGATGGCATCACTAGAATATTCACCAGCAGGAGAAGGAAAGTCCTGATCAGGGGCGGACTGACAACTCATGGGGTCCCTGGGCAATATGGGATCATGGGACCCCTGTGTCCTTGCCCAAACTCAAAAAAGCCTATGAAAAAGGTACCAGGGGCATCTCATGGGGCCCCCTACTGACCCTGGGCCCTCGGGCAGTGCCCGAGTTTGCAAATGGTCAGTCCGCCCCTGGTACTGATTCCACAAAAAATATTGAATTTAAAATACTGTGAGTAGTTCTGGAAAGCTCACTTAGAAAAAGATATTGATAAGATTGAAAGAGTCCAGAAACAGGCATCAAAAAAGAGTGAAAGGTCCGAGGGATGAACATCAGGAGATATCACTACATATGAGTCAGGAACACCACCCATTATCTTCCTACAAATAAAGCAAGGATGAGAGCACCCAATATCTATTCCTACTACAGGGCCATGATATCAAACCAACTTAAACTGTGGTGGACCCCAGACCCCGATAAACTTCGGACCCTGACTGAATACTTCTATTTTAATTGGGACTTGCAAGCCCTTATAGGAGCAATACTCTTAGGATATGATCTTACACTGTTGTCGCAGTATCCAAATCCCTTCCTCTGAAAACTCTGAAACTAATGGTTAACAGCCTCAAACATTGGATGCAGTCAGGTTTCAACACAATTGCAAAGCTCTATGACAGCTTTTCTCAACGTTTTCAACACTGAGGAACCCTTGAAATAACATTCCAGTCTCAGGGAACCCCTGTTCAGGGGCGAACTGACAACACATGGGGCCCCCGAGCAATAGGGGATCATGGGGCCCCTGTGTCCTTGCCCAAACTCAAAAAAGCCTATGAAAAAGGTACTAGGGGCATCTCATGGGGCCCCCTACTGACCCGAGTTTCCAAATGGTCAGTCCGCCCCTGTCCCTGTTAAATGACTACAATTCATGATACATTAGTGTGATGGTTAGTGGGAAGAATACACCTTACACTTGTGGTCATTGGGAACAATTACTTCCTTGCAGATAGCTAAAAAGATCAATGGTGTCAGCAGGAACTTAACTTAGAGGCAGAAATTGCTCATTGCTCAAGGAACCCCTAACAACCTTTGGAGGAACCCTGGGGTTTCATGGAACCGTGATTGAGAAACCATGATCTAAGATATCAACTCCACTAGATCCTTTCTTGACCTACAACAAACCTTCTTACTACCAAAACAGACTTTTACAAATACCTTTAAATTAGAAGTTCATTTCTACTATACCTTATGACAACTTATTGATTCCTCAAAATGCTATGCCATTCCATAATGGAACACTCAAATCTACCAGAGGAATTGACTTCCAAATGCTGGAGTAGAACTCTCCACAGGCAAAACTTCCAAGTATGAAGTTGTGGGAAAGGTGATTGTAGCCTTATTAGTGCACTTGTGACAGAAACAATTGAGTATGTTAGTGCAAATAAAAAAGTATCACGTCTGTACTAAGTTGTGGGAAAGAAATCTATCTACTACCTTTTCTGAACTTCAGAAGAGAGAAATTTGCCAGTGGCTACATAACACATCTAGATCCATTACACCTTGGGAGTCCTTCTCAAATTGTTACACAGATGCCATTGTACTCCAGGAAAATGACCTTGTATATTCTCTGATCGATCCTCACTTTGCTGGTGATACTGTGTTCAGACAGGTTCTATATTTCATATCTGGTGAACTTATGATAAACTCACCTAGATCTCATAAAGCTATATTCCTCACCTCGACTGTGTCGCATATTGACAATCTGCCCTAATCCTGTTCTTGCTTTCCTTCATATCGGAACTAACCAAAGGCCCCATGAATATACAACTTTCCTAACTCGCACAATCATAGCAGCAAGACTAGTTAGAATTATACTATGGAGACAGAAGAAGAGCCCTGATATTTACAATTTTTGCACTTACAGGTTCAAGAGAAATGTATCAAATGTATGAAAACTGATGCTGCTGGCTCCTAGACCCTAGATGCCCAACCACTTCATATGAATTAATACGTGAGCCAAATTCCTTTCCATTGGGCTTCATATCTGCACCATGACAGAGAACATTTCAAATATTTAATCCTCTTACATTCTATACATATCCATTTCTAGATATCATGCTCTTCCTTTATATAACGTGACAGGTCTTCTTCCTACTTTTTTTTTTGTTTCTTTTGCACTTTTCTTTCACATAGTTTTTTATGTGTAAAGATAAAAGGAATTAACTTGTTATACTTAGATGCCCGATTATACAACACAATTAGATAAGTATCTTTTGCAAATGTACTTCTCTGATGTTTATGACTTTTACCTTGAACTGTATCGTTACACTCATATAATATAAAAAAGATATGCCAAGGGCCTCTATAGACAATATGAAAAGTTGAAGAAGCCCAAGCGCATTGGGTGAATCGTGTCGGATTGCATGCCCCCACGGACATCCTGTACGTGACGTCACCACGCACAGCGACCGTCTCAGCTCGACCTCCATTTCATTCATGGGCAATAAGCCTTCCTAGCCTCACACCTACTGTGGACTATCCATACCGCCAGCACTGTGTACATTGCACAGGAGCAAACAAGACGCCATCTGGAGGAGCTGCTGCCATACTGTAAAAGGACTGCCGATGCGGATGGTAAAGAAAATGTCATAAAAGGAAGGGTGAGATGCTAGAGATGATATGCTGATTTTGGTGGCTCCCTGGCCCCTAATGCTATATATGTAAGGTCACTGGGTTGATTGTACTGTGACAAGTTATTCTGTGTCATCAACAATTTATCAACATCTTACATCTGGACTGCTGTTGACTTACTGTATCTCTACTGTACAACTATGCTTGCGGGTGGACCATACATCCAGGCATTACAAGTGACTATACCAACATATGCCAATTTGATTATGATGTGTTCTGTATGATCCATTGTTAGCAACTTTTTTATTTAGGAATGACATAAGTGATTACTTCATTATATCCTTGGATGTTATCCATAAATTGCAGCTTGAGGCCTCCTACTATTTGTTCAATACTAGATAAGACCCCCTATGTATGAATGTGGCTGAGTGAGCAGCAGTGAGCAGCTGCCTAGGTGACTAGACAATGTTGTCTTTTTAATTAGTGAGGTGTCGATTAGTGGTTTTATCTCACTGTTTGTATATTATGTGTTATATTTTTTCATCAAAGCCATTGTTGATTAACCTCTTGGCGCCAGCCGCATGCAAATGTGCGGCCTCCCGGCATCTGGGCCTTGATGCTGAGCAGCCGCACATTTGCGTACAATTAAGAAAAACATATGTGCTGAGAGCGCGCCCCTGTGTGCGCTCCCAACCCACATGTCCGGTACTCACGGAAAGGTCCCGATCTCCTCTTTCGATCGGGACCTTTTCTGATCATGTGACCGCCGTGACAGCAAATCACAGTGGTCACATGACTCTAAAACCCCACCCCGCCTCCTGAAAACCTTAAAGGGCTGGGAGGCGCTGGCGCCAAGGGGTTAAGCTGCATGGTCCCATTTGAAACTTTCTTCCAGGGGTATCTTCCTTACCCTGTTTTTATATGTATATACAGCATGTACCACTTATACTACAATAAAACAATTGAAAAATGAAAACATTACATGGAGAAAAATGTACCATGTTGTGATTTTATCATTCAATGCAGATTTTTAAATGCAAGCAGTGCAAGTACTTGAATTTTACTGGATATATGACTCTTGCAGCCACTGCACAGCAGAGCTCAGACTTGGAGAGGAAGAAGCAGCACTAGAAGCTAGTCCGTTTTGTGCAGTGCTCCTGTGCTAACACAGCATGCTCATAGGAGAAGAGTATAGAATGATAAAGAAAATGATTCATCAGCGTGCGGATTCTTCTTTCACTGTACAGTCACAGGCTGGAGGAGTGACAAGACTTGTAGCTGTAACCTAACTGCAGCAGGGAAAAATAAGGTCCCATACTTGACCGGACAGGGTTATGCTGTATGGCAAAGCTGTGTAAATTTTAAAATGGCTGGACAAAAATACTAATCCTTTAGTAGGTAAAACAGCTCCCATATGTATTTGATGTGTGTATGTAGCTGTTTGCCTGGCATTCAACTTTAAATATTTTGCAATTAGAAAGGTAATTTTAAATTCAAAATTACAATACAGTTTGAACTTCAGATTTCTACAATATTGTTCCTCATTTTTTTTTTTCAGGAGAGTAAAAAATGAACAATGCATATTATATTGAATTTTTAACGCAGTTGAGAAGCAACACTTTGTAAATTCAATAACATTTTTTTATGAAAAAGCAGTCAATCAGATTATATTGTGGATATGGATTTTTAACATACAACTGCAGCCAAAATGTTGTTCACATTTTTAAATAAAGATGAATTAGAACTTCTGTCAACTTTTTATTGCTGTCTGCAGGGCCGTGGATAAGGGGGTACCATCAGACCTCTAGTACGGGGCCCAGGCTAGCAGGGGGGCCCAGGCAACTGGGTAAATCAAAAGTGGGCAGGGAGGGTAATCAGCATAATTGGGCGTGGGGGAGATTATTGGAACCAATCTCCTGTATGGCTCTCTTTGCAACAGCTGAAAGCCGGCTTCTTCTCCTCTCCCTCCTGCTGGTTTTCAGCTTCTGTAGAGAGGCATACAGCGGATTGGTTCCAGTAATTGCCCCCCGCCGC